TATATATTAGAAAAAATTGGAGACTTATATTTTTGCTTGATTTTTATAAACTTTTCTTCTATCGTTTTTACAGTTTTTACAGTCTCTTGTAATAATTATTTTTATTTATTATCAAACTTGTAAAATTACTTTGATAACGTGAAAAAAAGAAAAATGATGTTTGAACCAAGCATAAATATAAAGGACGATTTTCATAAAAGAAATAAAAATCAAATTACTCACTCGCTTATAACTCGAGTTTAAGAATAGAGAATTAGCGATGAAAACGTAAAGGAAAAAAAAAAAAACGAAACGTAATACCAATCAATCCACAAATGCGATATTAAATCGAGTCTTATCGAGTCGACAATTCGCAGACCGCGAAACATAAATCCTACCCCCTCCCTCGGGGAACAGAGAATTTAATTAATTTGGGCGTCATCTAATTTCTCCGCAATAACAGATAACGTCACGGCCGCAATTTCATCGGTATTATCTCGCAACAGCAATTTCCATATAAACGGATTTACGCTTTATTACGTTTTTTTTTTTTTATTTCTCGATGAAAATTTCAAGATCCTCCATCAATTTCCATGAATTTTCTACTTTCTTCAAGCCCAATCTTTTTCATAACGCGCATAATCATTGTCTATTTTACACACGTAAGCCGAGAAAGAGTGCTTTCAACCGAGTTCCTCGTCGTCGTTTTCGAAATGAGATTTTACGCGCTCGAGAGCCATGTCGATGGCGCGAGAAAATGGCGCGAAATACAAACGAGAAGAGGGCGAGAATAGAATGAAATTTTCAAGACACGGAAAGGCTTTCCCTTGGATGATACGTGCGTACGTCGAATGAGACCGCTTCAATATTCACTCTGTCGCTTCTCTGTTGTCCGCTTACTGAATACGCGTTTCCGCTATGAACAAAGGAAAAGGTGTGGACAGAAGGAAAGGACAATTGCGCGTTTCGACAAGGATTAGTCGTCAAACGTGGAGAATTACATCCGTTTCTTCTGTTTCTTTCTGAAATTAAAATCATAGATACCATAGGAAAATCGCCTCGTAACGTAAGATCGTTGAGAGATTTTCATCTCTGTGCGGATTTTTCCTTTAAAAATTATACTCGTAACGAGGTTCTTGCGGTCAAAGAGTAGCGTGTCGATGTGCAGGGAGGAGAAATTTCGCAGAAATAATTATAAAACGGCTATGTTTTTCAGGAAGATTAAAAGATTGGAATAAACAAGATTCATCAAAGTTCACTTTTCACTTGATTTTCAGCGCCAACATTTTGACGACACCAAACAGCTTTCCTCTAACAAAATATCGTGACAATTTCACAGCTCTGAAGAGAATCGAACTTAACTTATTTCGACACAATCAAACACAACTGTATATACAATTTCGAATTTCGTGGAAATAATTTTTACTCCAACTTTATGAACACGATGATGTATCCCTAATGAAACGTAAATTCGCCGCGATGATTCATCCTGCATTTTCATCCTTTCGCCGCGAGTTTCGAAATCCAAAATCCCCGCACAATTTCTGTTAATAAATTACGCAACGATGACCACCTGGATCCTCACGCGCGCCGAGAATTGTCCAAGTTAAATGGCGCAGAGCGCGGTGGACCCGCGAAATTTCTCCGCAATTTCGCGGTTCGATCGACCCCCGGTTTCCACGTCACGTCGAAATGATAAAACGTCGTCGCGCTTTCATCGGCCGCCGCTCGGTTTTATCAGCGAGCGGCCGCGCTCGTCGGCAAGCGGATTATTAATCGGCGCCAGGCCCCGAATATCGTTCGATAAGCTTTAGAACGGGTTAATGGAATGAATCGACTTTATCGGCCGAGAAATTCGGACAGGGTTTGCATCTATGTATATATCGGCAACGCGAATTTGCGGGGACGGCGGTCGAGGCGGTTGTTAAGAGACACATCTGCGTCAGGTTGATGCATACCAAACATGCGTGAAACACGGCCTGTGTGTGTTTTGACCTTGAATGTTGCAGTATATGGTGACAAGCGTGGCTTCGATTTGCGGCTAATTGCGCGATCTCGATGGACTGCAGTGAATTTCGTTCGAGGATGAGGTTTGATAAGGAATTGGCTCGAGCGATCGTCGTCGGGTAAAATGACAGGTGCGTCGTAAAATCTTTTCGCATTCCCCGTTGAGAGCAATTATGTACCAATTTTATTCTCGAAAGTGTATTCATATTTTTTAAGCGGAAGTTAAGATCGAAGAAAAAGAATTTGACATTCTTTTCCATTTAATCACTATCTCTCTATGTCTATTTTTTTTAAACTATTCTTACTTTTAATCACTCCATCCGCGATCTTTTTCGATCCTCGATCATTAATTTCGATACATTTTCTCCAATTTATATTTCTTATTTTTCCTTTATCGAACTTCTCCTCTTTCTACGTATACGATTTTCTACGATTTTCCTTTCTATTTTTCCCTCCCGATCACAATCTCGTTTCTAAGATTGATGCAGCGAAAACAATACACGTGCTGCGTGAATCGATAGATATTGCACGATTCCAAGAAATGCGCGCACGCATACAGCGAATTTCGCAAATGCAATTTTCTCGGAAGAAGGCAAGAAGCAACGGTTTCTAAACGTGATGTTCACGCGCAGGTGGACGTGAACGAATCTCGAACGCACAGTAAAATCGTCCCCTCCCCATTACGGATTAACGAGATTGACTATAATTAGAGGCGTTCTCGTCATCTGTTATTCGAATCTGGTCGCTCGAATCTAGTTTCCACATTGAGAAATAGTTGGCAAACGGAACGATGGTTATTGTTGTTTCGAGTGTCAATTATTTATAACTGTAACTTATGAAGCGATATCTCGATGGATCAATAATATTGCCTAACGAACGTTGTAACGCGTTTCATCGTACGAGAAAAATAAAATCTCAAATCTGTCAAATTTGAACTTTAATTTAACCCTCTCTGAAGCCGAAACTTCCTCGCCTACGTATAATGGTCTTATAATCAAACTCTAACGAGTTTCTCCAAAGATGAAACTGGAGGACACGTCGCAAATTTGCAAAGCTTTCGAGCTTTGAATACGAAATAATTACCTTTCCATTCGTGTTTTCCGAATGTTTCCGTTTCGTTAATTAATTTGACGCTTGTTGCCACGGTTCCATAAATCCTATTGATCATAATCGATCCAATTTCGCCAAGTTTTCATTTTAACTTTTCAATTCGACTTGACTATTTAACGCTCGACGAAGAAATCTAAGAACCTCGTTAATTTTCTCTAAATATGACCAGACCAAACCTCGCTCGCACAACTGCTCGTTTCCGTTGATCCGGATTAAATCGTGATTTGAATAGGCTCGATAGAATCGCGATTAGATTAGGTGGCAATCGCTTCGAGCTCTGAATATTGCATTATTCCTCTTCGACAAATCGCTCTTTTCGTCAATTTTCCATCTCTCCTCGATTTAATTATATTATTAATGCAGATTGGAAAAAAAAAAAGAAATATCGATTCGTTTTATAATTCTCAATAATCTAAAAGTAGGGAACCAATAATTTCTATAAACGAGAACAGTTCGATACCGTTTACATTGCAATATGATATGAAAGGTTAACAAATTGGCTGAATATTTAAAATCTTGCCAAAAACGAAGATCTAAAAATATTAACGATTAAGAATGAAATAAACTAGAACGAAAAATAGCTAATTAAAAAAAAAAAAAAAAAAAAAAATAATCGAGAAAGGATATAAAAAATTGCACTCGATCCGAATCGAAACGGAGGGATAAACAATTGATCCCGAACACGTATTTTCTTTCGATCTGGACGAAATTCCGTGGAGAAAACGGGACAAATGCCTCGAGTGTTTCCCCAATGTAGTTCGAAATCAAAATTTCACGCGTTTGAAGGAGTTGAATTCCCGTGCTAATTAATTAAGTTAGAATAAACGTTGAACCAAGCGAAGCACCCGCAGCATATTTACCTTTCCCCGGAAAATAGGAGGAGAGGAGAAACTAAAGAGAGCGTGCGAGCAACGAAAATGCCGTAACCTTGTTCAACATCGATTCTTGTGTAAAGGGGAGCAAAAAAAAAAAAAAAAAGGAAAAAAGAAAAAACAAAAAAAAAAAAAATAAAATAAAATAAAAATAAGAAAAGAAAATGGAGGATAGAGAGGAGAGCTTTAGCTTTAGGAGAAAGAGAGAGAAAATCGATATGCATACGTATATAGATAAATATCCAAGCTATTTGAATATCGTTTGTGTCGAGGAAGATTTATAAATAAAAAAAAGAATATGATTGGAGACCTACCGTTGGGTACCGTCGGTGGTTTTTTCGTCTGCACCCTCGCTGTCGCGTTGTTCACCTGTCAAATAATAATGGAATATTAACAATCTCTCGATTACATCTCACTACCGTGCCGATTTTATTCCTCTCGATCGATCGCGAGATTCGCGCTGCCGCCTCTTTTCGTATCGAGTAAAAATATAAAAATTCCATCTCGTCCATTTGTTTCGTTTCGAAGAAACGAAAACTTTGCTTCGTCGTTTCGAAAAAATTTCAAATCGTAAATCTCGTTTAAAAATTTAGAACGAAAAAAATTTACTTGAGAGTTGAAAGAAAATTTATTCGAGAAGATGTTTATTAGAAGATTAGAAGGAAGATATGCGCAAGGATATGTGAGATTTAAATTTCTAAATCGAAGGAAAATATTTTATTTTA